TGCTCTATGTTCTATGTTCCACACTGTAGGGATTCTTATGAACGTGAACTTTAAAAGAAAGCAGCAAGTCATTAGGTTCTGCTGTACACTGCCTGATTGTACGGTGGAGACAGATACCATTGTGCTATTCAAAATTGGAGAATTGGATCATTATCTGAAAAGGAGAAGGGCATAGGGCTATGGGCAAAAGTCCATGAAAACATAAGACTTTGAGTTCAAATTCAAAATCGACACTTAGACAACATTTTCTTCTCAGTCAACAGACAAGCAGTTACAAGATCACCTGCCCACAAAAGACAATGATCATATCTAGACAAATCTGGAATTGTTGGTTGTTTAGCCGAGCTGACTAGTTTTCATGCAAATGTTTTGTCTTCCTTCTAGGTGACATTGTCAATGCTGTGTAGTCTCGGTTGAAGCGCTGTTGTTCTGTCCCGCTCTGAATTTGTGGGGTCCGGTGTGTCATGGTCGGCAGTCTCGTTTCCGGTTTTGTACCATAGTGGTACGTAGATGGGGTCTATTTCAACATGTTTGTTAATTACATCGGTGGTTGAAAACCAGGCCTCCAGGAATTCTCGTGCTTGCCTTTATCTCGTTTGTCCTAGTACTGTAACTTTGTCCAGTCAAATTGATGTCCTTCTATGTCAGAGTGTATTGAAACGAGGGAGAATTAGTCATACCATTTTGCTGCAAGTTGGTGTTCATGTACCCTGGTGGCAAGTTTCCTGCCCATCCGTCCTATGTAGTGCTTCTCGCAGTTGCTGCATTGTATTTGTATATCACATTTGTCCTGCTCATTGTGGATATGGGGTCTTTAGTCTTTGAGAGTAACTGGTGAAGTGTGGCTGTTGGTTTGCTGTTTGGTTTATTCCAAGAGGTCATAGGAGTCTTGTAGTCAGTTCTGATGTGTTTCTAACAGAGGGTAGGGTGGCCAGCGTGTTGAGGTGTACAGTGTCTTCTTGGTGTTGTTAGTTTGTCAGGTATCGGCAGACGAAGATGTTAGGATAACCATTGTTTGCAAAGACTTTGTATAGGTGTTCCTCTTCATTTTTGCGCAGCTCTGCGGTGTTGCAGTGAGTTACCACTCGTTTAAACAGAGTATTAACACCGCTCTGTTTGTGGACGTTGGGGTGGTTACTGCTGTAATTCAGGATTTGGTCTGTGTGTAGTCTTTTTGCATATGCTGGTAAGGAATTCCCCATTGTTTGTTTGTTTGTTCATTCGTTCGTTCCACCATTACGTCTAGAAATTGGAGTTGATTGTTATTCTCTTCTTTCCTCGTGATCTTGATCCCGGTAAATGTCCTGTTAATAAAGGTGGTGTGTTTCTTCAAACTTGGCTCGTTTAATGATCATGAAGGTATCATCTACGTATCTAACCCATAGTTTAGACTGGATCTGGGGGAGGGCTGTGCGATCCAGTCTTTGCATAACAGCTTCCGCTATGAGCCCCGAGATGGGTCAGTGTCATGTACCATGCATGTTTAAATAAAGGGTGACTTGATGACGACATCACTCTTCATAGAGTTATTTCAGTGGCAACGAGAGTAAAAACATGATCCTGAAGAGATTGGCTCCCAACAGACATCTTTGAATTGGGGTAAGTATTTCTGGCATCATGCCGCTATTTGGGAAGCTTATTCATTCAATCCTGCTGAAGACTGGTCCCAGTATGTAGAAAGAATGCATTATTTTCCCCCCATGCAAATGACATTGGCACAGATGAAAAGTAACAAGCAATTCTCCTGACAGCACGTGGTCACGCAGCTTTTGCGATTTTAGAAGTCTAACTCTCTGTGAGGCACCAGATAATAAAACCTTTCAAGAGTTGATAGATTTAGCTAAAGAATATTACGATCCCAAGCCTTCTCTAATTCTGAGATGCTATTGGTTTTACTCAGCAGCTTGAGAACCATAGGAATCCATGTCAGGAGTTTTGACTGGATAAGACAACTAGCAGAGGCACATGATTTTGGTTTAACCCTAAGTGAGACGTTGAGGGACTGTTTGGAATGTGGGATTAATGATGTGACCATGCAATAAAGCCTACTAGATGAAGCTCAACTAGATTTCAAACAGGCACTACACCTAGCTTTGTCATTAGAAAATATGGCAAGTGGAGCATAGGAGTTTGAATATTCCGATGGAAGTGGACACCCTTGTTAGTCCGACTGAGCTTGGGGAACACCATTTGAATGAAGGCAATTGCATAGTCCCCTCAGGGCATATCCTGAGCAGAGGGACTCTAGGTCAACGCACAGCAAAACCCTAAAACAAAGGCAAACCTCAGCAGAACGGTTAAAATTTTCTCGAGTATCTGGGCCGGCAGGCTATTGTAGTTGTTGCCGGTACGTGGATTCACGACAGCATGAGAGTCCCACTAGGCCTGAATTGACTAAGAAAACTCAGGTTAATACCAAGCAAAGTATTAACACCCTGAAAAGTCCACCTACAGCTGGTGTGGAACAGTTAAATTGCTTAGCAACATCCAAATCGGAATCAAATCAACTTAAATATCTGCTTAAACAGTCACCCACTTCTGATGAAAGTCGATACTGGTGCAGCTGTATCAGTGATTGCAGAACCAGTCCTTACCAAAATTTGAACTGGTCTCCAACCCTTAAGTTTGCATCAGACCTTGGCCAGGCTGAGACTCTATACCAGAGAACCCCGACAGATTAAGGGTATAACTTTGTTTTTGGTTTCTTATGACAAGCAACTGGTTCAGTTTCCACTGATTGAAGTAAATAGCTCAGGCCACAAGTTTGATGGGGCAAAATTGGTTTAGAAGCATTTAACTTGATTGGCTCAACATTTTCCGATTGGAAAATGGCTGCCTGAGTCAAGTCCTAACTAAATACCTAGAAGTTTTCCAAATGTTGACCAAGAAGCAATTCCACAATTCTGCAAAGCCCAGTGCCATTTGTCTTACAAGAAAAGTACAGGCAGAAATCAGAAGGATGGGAGGCAAAGGAATCATCAAACCAGTACAGATGACAGCCTTCAGCTAATATGATTGACTCCAAATGATATCAACAAATGATCAGAGGCTCTGGATACTGCAAAGGCTATGGGCCCTGATAACATATGCACTGAAAACTTGTGCTCCAGAACTTGCCGCACCCACAGGCAAGCTGTTCCAGTACCGCTACAACACTGACATCTCCCCAACGCAACAAAGTGGGGAGTTGGCCAGGTACATCCCGTACACAAAGCAGGACAAATCCAACCTGGTCAAATACTGTCCCAGCGATCTACTCTCAATCATTAGTAAAACGATGGAAGATGTCATCAACAGTGTTATCAAGTAGCACCTGCTCAGCATTAACCTTCTCAGTGACGACCAGTTTGGGTTCCACCAGGGCCACTCAGCTCCTGACCTCGAAACAGCCTTGGTTCAAGCATGGACAAAACAGATAAATTCTAGAGGTGAGAGTGACAGCCCTTCAACATCAAGGCCTCATTTGACTGAATGTGGCATTGAGGAGCCTGAGAAAAACAGGAGTAATTGGGAATGAGGCGGGGGGGGGGGATACTTGCAGCCATTTGGAAGATGGTGATGACTGTTCATGGCTAGTCATCTCAGTTCCAGGAATTCTCTGCAGGCTTTCGTCAATAGTGTCCACAGCCCAAGCATCTTCACTGACTTCATCAATGACTTTCCCCTCCATTATAAAAAGGTCAGAAGTGGGGATGTTCGGCAATGAATGCACAATGTTCAGCACCATTCACAACTCCTCAGGTACTGAAGTAGTCCATATTTAAATGCAACAAGATCTGGACAGTGTCCAGCTTAATAGTGGCAAGTCATACTCGTACCACACACATTCCAGGCAATGACCATCTCCAATAAGAGACAGACAATCAAACCATCATCACTTGCTATTCAACAGCATTACTGTCACTGAATTCCCCACTATCAACATCCTGGGGATTACCAGTGACCAGAAACTCAACTGGACTCTCCACATCAGTGCAGTGGCTACAAGAGCAGGTTTGAGGCTAGGAATACTGTAGCAACTAACTTACTTCCTGATTCCCAAAGCTTGTCCACCATCTACAAGGCACACGTTAGGAGTGTGATGGAATACTCCCCAGTTGCCTGGATGAGTACAGCTCCAACAACACTAAAGAAGCTGGACAGCATCCAGGACAAACCATCCCACTCGGTCGGCACCACATCCACAAGCCTCCACCAACAATGCTCAGTACACTCTGCTACCACTATCTACAAAATGCACTGCAGAAATTTGCCAAAGATCCTTAGGCAGCACTTTCCAAATCTATGACCACTTCGATCGAGAAGGACAAGGGCAGCACATACAAAAGGAACACCACCACCAAGTTCCTCTCCAAGCTACTCATCATCCTGACTTGCAAATATATTGTCATTCCTTCACAGTTGCTGGATCAAAAATCCTGGAATTCCCTTGCCAACAACATTGTGGGTCTACCTACAGCATATGTGCTGCAGCAGTTCAGGAAGGCAGCTTACCACCATCTTCTCAAGGGCAACTCAGAAGAGGTAATAAATGCGGGCTGCAATGCCTGCATCCCGCAAGTGAACAAAAACAAAACAAAAAGACAGACAGTCTAGTCAAAGACAAGCTTCTTTCCTCCAAGGGCATTTGTGACCCATTCTAGGTGTGTGCGTGTGTGCATGCGTGTGTGATGTGTGTGTATTTCAGAATATTTAATTTGGATTTAATATGATTATCATTAACAAAGTAAATTCACATTCTCAAACTGCGAAGATAATGCATCATAACAATCTTACACAGCCATCACCAGCAATTCAGATCAATTCAAAGTTAAAATAATCAAAAATCACATTTAATTGAGTCTACAAGTCTCAGACCTCTTATTGTGGGCACAAAATTACGGATTCAGTCATTGAAGGTCACCCTGAGACAATGTAAAGCTTTTTGCTTGATCCATCATTGTGTATATGCACAGTTTAAAAGTTATAGAAACGCAAGAGATTCAAATATCATACTGTACCTCTTCAGCTACCGCCCTGATAGGAATGCGCTGTCGGTAGCTAACAGGCTTTCTGTTGTCATCAACTTCATAATCCTCTTCATTCATCCACTCATTGAACACATCAGTGTCCAGGATCCACTTAGCATGCACCTGGACAGGTCAACAAAAGAGTAGGATGTTCTACAATCTACCAAAGTGGTGGACAAAATGCCAAAATAAAAACAAAGTCCTGGAGAAACTCAGCAGATTTGGCAGAATCTGTGGAGAGAGAAGTGGAGTTAATGTGGAGTTAACACTTCTTCCCAAAAAATCATAGAGGATTCAAAACATCAACTATTTCTTTCTCCATAGATGCTGCTATATTTACCGAGTTACTCCAGGACTTGGTTTTTATTTCAGATCTCCAGCATTCTCAGTACTTTACTTTTATTTGACAAGATGCTGAACTGGGTTAAGACATGGATTACATTTTCAGTTGGGGCCGAGAAAACAGATATTCCAAGTGTGATTCCAAAACAACACAGCTGATCCTACATTATAATAGAAACATTTAACAGTGTAGAAAAGTAATTGACTGAGTACATGAATCTGATTATGTATGTTCACAGGATATGATTACTCTTCCTGTATGGCTCATTCCTTAAAGTTGCAGGTGATCATGAAATTCACCAGACGTTCATCTGCTCCTCTTGCATGCAGCACTGTTTTACATCTAAGCAATTCTGGTCAGTGATCCTGTGTTCTGAGTGGTTCTGGTAATCATGAAAAGATTTCAGTAGCTGCTCTTTTCTTTCTAGCTTAATCTGGCTGCAATCCACTTTACATTTGCACGTTCTTCAAGAGTAATGTTTACACATCAGTTTTTGATTGGCTGGACCCCACCCTGAACCCTGAAACCTTGAGTACTGAATCAACTAGTGCCACCCAGCTCCACAACCACATTTTCCACCATTCCTCATTTCAATCTCTTGGCTTCTAGGCTACCCAAAGCACTAATAACACTAATGCCTATCACAAAACATCCTATGCGACTCAGCAATTATCTATCGTCCATTGCCATTTAGGATTCAACATTATCAGTCCTAGCAATTTGTTCTATTTCCAAACATGCACAGTGCCTCAGTGGTTAGCACTGCTGCTTCATAGCGCCACAGACACAGGTTTGATTCGAGCCTCAGGTGAACGTCTGTGTGGAGTTTGCACATTCTCCCTGCGTCTGTGTGGGTATTCTCCAGATGCTCCAGTTTCCTCCCACAGTCCACAGATGTGCAGATTAGGTAAACTGGCCATTTTGAAATTGTCCATAGTACGCAAAGATGTGTAGGCTAGATGGATTAGCCATGGTAAATGTAGGGTTACGGAATACAGGAGGAGGTTGGGTCTGGGTGGTATGCTCCTCGACGGATTGGTGCAGACGTGATGGGCTGAATGGCTCCTTTTTGCACTGTAGGGGTACTATGGTTTTATGGATTACAATTATACAATTCTACTCCTAATTCAGTCTATTGTATTTTTTGTTTCAAGATAAAAGTTATGGGCCTCAAGATGAACATATAATGAAGGGAAATGCGCTACATTGTACAAGATGCTGCCAATAGCACGAAATATGAAACAACACCTTGTCTGCATCCAGAGCTGAGGTGAAGATGATCCCAAGGCACTGCTCAGAGAGCTCCATGCCCCAAAACAGTCCTCCAGAATCACCAGAAACAATTTATCAGTTCTTCTGATTGTGGGATGATGCAACAGATTCTACATTGCAGTTTGTTGCACTTCCCTAATTAAAAGCAATTAACTTTAGGTGAACCACATCAGAACCTTTGAACAACAAAGTGTGAGGTGGGGGGAAAAAGCTGCATCATACAGCATTTTAATTATATACTCAGAACATGGTATCCAACTAACTACTTTCCTTTTGAATCCGTACGTGTGTTCACTTGGAATGGTGCATTAGTGACTTTGCTAGCAGAACTCATTTCCCTGCAGTTTTATACCTAACTGCTTCTGGGTTTTTAGCCATTTGTTAACATTTTAGTAATCCTTCATCATTCAGGTCACTTCTCTTGCATATATACATTTAACGTACCTTCCATGGCCTGTCAGGGATTGGTGGTTCTTCAATTTCAGCTTCAATCTCATTGGCGGGCATCCAGGTATCATAGCTAGCAAAACAAACAATATTAATCCAGTGCCCTTTTAAAAAAAAATCAAAGAATTGGAATACTTTTTATGGATTGAGACATACGTGAGTGTGTGTGCACGTGGGGGAGGGGGAGGAGGCAAGAGACACACACACACACACACACACACACACACAGAGAGAGGTTCGTGTTTATGAATGGCACACATCTTTCAGTTATGATAGCAGATCAGATACAAAGTAACATTTTTTTTTAAATCAACTCAGGCGCAAAGAATTTCACATCAAAACAATCAACACCAAAATTCTGTTTTAAGCAGCATGGCAAACTGGAAATTTCCACACAAACCGGAAGTTAGCCAACTTAAAGTCTCTCTCTCCCTATGCCCCTATCCCGCCGATCCGCGCACACGTTCTCTCTCCCCACTTCCCGCAGACCGGGGCACACGCGCTCTCTCCACCCACACCCCCCACTTCCCGCAGACCGGGGCACACGCTCTCTCTCTCCCCCACCCCCGTCTTCCCACAGACCGGCCTGCACATGCTCTCTCTCTCTCTCCCCTTCCCACAGACCAGCCTGCACATTTTCTCTCTCTCCTTCCCCACAACGCGTGTGCACGCACTCTCTCTTTCTCACTCACACATACATGTAAATTTAATGGGGCGAAGTTGTATTTGCAGATACATTCTGTTTTGTTCAAAAAACACACAATTTATAAACAGTCATCAATGCAGCATTTTATAAATTCCTCCTTTAGAAATAAAACCAGCCTGATTCCAAACCAAAACAAACAGATTCTAAACAAAGCTTCACACCGAACATGCATTGTCTGACTGAAAATGATAGTGACTTCAAAGGAATTCGAGGATTCACATATACATATTAATCAACTAAAAACCTTCTAACTGACTAAAGATTTAACAGTATCTTAGGTTTGTTTAATACCTCCTCATCAGTGGTGTGACCCTTTTGATATTTTACTTTTAAATTCTGCCTCTGATACTACCTCTCACTAACACCTAGAGGAGGAGCAAGGCACCAAAAGCTTGTGGTTTCAAATAAACCTGTTGGACTATAACCTGGTGTCGTGTAATTTCTGACCTTGTGCACCGCAGTTCAACACGGGCACCTCCACACCATGAAATAGTTTCACATCAGACTGTGAAATCCATATTTTAACTTTACCATGCAATTCTAGCCAATGTTTAGACACTACACCATACAAAGTAAAATAGAGTTTTTCTGCCATCCTGTATAAGTATCACACACTCAAGCCAGTATGGGTTCTAAGAACCTAGATAAAGGTTTGATCCTCTTGAACATTCCTCAACAAGCAACATCTAATTGTACAATTTAATAACTTCAATATCCAAACACCAATCCTCTTCCATTAACAACTAACAGAAGACTGAACATTCTTAAGATTGAACATTCTTTTTCAGCCTCACAAAAACATTAGATGCTTGTTAAAAAAATACTTCTCTCTCCTTCAGGGTTTTTCCAAATGATTTTGAATCCATGGCTTCCACTTACTAACTTGCTCAACAAGGAGAATTATTGCCATCAAATTCTACTAAAATTCAATTATCTCAAAAGTCATATTTAGGTCACCTATTAAGCTTCACTGTTTCAAGGACAACAGTGTTAATACGTCCAACAGAAGCTCATTGAAATATGTCATCCCTGGTAATATTTGAAGAAATGCCCTCTGCACTCCCAGGACATCATTACTCACTTGATACGTGGCATTCAATTATTGATAATACACCAGCTGTACCAAACAACTGATTTATAAAGTTCTAGCATGTGGCCTTGCCATTCAATAGCCCAATTTGGGAGCTCAACAGCTTTCCAACAGGTGGCCATATTAACATCTAGAGTTACAGATCCCCGCAATTCTCTTCACACCTCAATTCTACTCAACAGTAAAAGTGTAATGCCTGTGGCTAGTTTCTGATTTATACATCTTCAATATTTACAGCAAGAAAAGTAACTGCAAAAGTAAAATCTGAAATACCTGCCTGTTCTTAACTTGATGGAAAAAGGGTGAGTAGCAACATGCACAGCCAACCACCCCACAAAGGGGCAACTGGTGCAGGACAGAAACTTAAGTCAGAGTCAGCTTTTACAATTAACTCTTGCCTATGCTGGCTTGGAGTACAACTGAAGTTAATTACTGCACATCTCTTGCACTCCCAGTTCCACTGTCGGGACAATTCTGCTGAATGCAACCAGTGAACTCTGACAAGAGCTCCTGGGAACTGTTAAACAGAGTGTAAAAGAATTTATCTACTTCTATCATACTTAAATACACTTCTGTTTCAGGATAACATTCAGAACTGTGCAAAAGAGAAAGTGATAAGACTCAGCATGGCTTTTCTGGGGCAAAGACATGGACCTTGGGATAGGAATACAATTTTTAAATCCAGTTTCATCTTTCCATTAATACAAGTCCACTACATATCATCTTCCCAGCAAACAGTGATGCCAGCTACCTATAATATACCACTTTCATGGTCCATACCCATGGAATTATCTTGTGATGCCCTTGGTAGCCTGCCTTTCCTGTCTACTGTTTTAATGTCTGTAGAATACATAATTTGCTTTTTTGCAATCCCACTATTTCCTTAAAAGAAAAGGAAGTAAAGAAAGAAACAGATCTAAACTGAATTCTAAATCATTAATATGTATCAAAAACCGCAAGCGACCCAAAGGTGAGTCTTGTGGAACAGCCATGGAAACTGCTTTCCAGACCCAAAAATATCTGTCGACCATTCCCATTTGTTTCTTGTCACTGCATTGACTTTGGATCCAACTTGTTACATTCACTTATGTAGTATGGGCCTGAAATTTTCATAACAGTCTGCAATGTGTCCTTGTCAAAAGCCTTGCTAAACTCCACATAGATAATATGCACTGCGCTCATCCATACTCAGGATTACTTAACTCAAAAAATTAACTTCATCATTTGGGACTTTGCCTTCGAAAAATACTGACTATTCTTAATTTAACCGTTATTTGGAAAGGAACAGACAAGCCTCGTAAGTCAGTTTCCCTCCACCTACATCCCAGGATTTAGTCTGCTGAACCTTCATTGCACTCCCTCTATATCAAGTATATATTTCCTTGAGCCAGGGGACCAGAACTGCAGTCAATTCTCTACATGCCTCACCAGTGTTTTATAAAATTGAGAAAGACTTTTTTGCTCCTGCACTCAAATCTTCTTGCAATAAAAAAGTTAGCGTAACTTTTCAGTACAGTCTGAATTATGTGCTGCACTGCATATTAGCTGTCAGTGATTTATGACCATGGCTTTGAAGAGATTGAGAAGACCAGGCCCTCATTCCCAAGCATTCTGAAGAATGACCGGTGAATTCACAGAAATTTACAAAATTCTTGTTGAAAACTGAGGGACACAAGACACTGGGGACACACTGCGTGGATTAATTAGAAATGGTCTAAAATGGTCACATTCACCCGGTGAACAAGAAGACATGGGGAAAGGATATAACAACAGATTACAGAAAGAGGAGGCCATTCAACCCTTTGAAGCCTGCTCCACCATTCAATATAATGATGATCATCCAACTCAGTACCCTGTTCCTGCTTTCTCTCCATATACTTTGATCCCTTCGGTCCCTAGAACTACATCAAACTACTTCTTGAAAACATTCAATGATTTGGCATCAACTGCTTTTTGTGGCAGAGAATTCCACAAGCTCATCACTCTCTGGGCGATGAAATTTCTCCTCATCTCAGTCCTAAATGAGTTACCTGATATCTTTTGTCTACAGTCCCTGGTTCTGGGCTCCCAGTCATCAGGAACATGGATTCTGTGTTTATCTTGTCTAGTACTGCTAGAATTTTATTTATTTCTAGGAGGTCCCCCATCGTGCTTCTAAACTCTATACTTCGAATGTCATAACCTATCCAAGTCCCTCTCATGTCAGTTCTGCATCCGAGGATTCAGTCCAGTAAACCTTTGTTGGACTCCTTCCACAGCCAGAACATCCATCCTCAGAAAAGGAGACCAAAACAGCACACAATACTCCAGATTTAGTCTCACCAAAGCTCAAATGCCCCCATACCTGAATTCTCTCACTATGAAGGCCAACATGCCATTTGGCTTCTTCACTGCCTGCTCCACCTGCATGTTTACTTTCAGCAACTGGTGTACAAGGACATAGAGGTTTTATTGCATGTCTGCTTTTTCCCATTCTACTACCATTAAGAAAATAACCTGCTTTTAATTTTACTACCAAAGTTGATATCTTCACATTTATCCACATTATACTTCACCACTCTTAGTCACATACTTAGTCACTCAGAAAAAAAGACCTGTTTGCTCCTACTGAGTTTCCTGTGTGCCAACCAGTTCTCTATCCATGTCAGTACCAGTACCCTTGCTCTTATACACTTCGATTTTACAAGCTAATCTCTTATGTGGGACCTCACTGAAAGTCTTCTGAAAGGCCAAGTAAACTGGACCGACTGGCTCCTCCTTAACAAATCTACTTCAGCAAAGCGTATGACAAAGTTCCACATAGTAGACTGATTAACAAGGTTAGATCACATGGAATACAGGGAGAACTAGCCATTTGGATACAAAATTGGCTTGAAGGTAGAAGAAAGAAAGTGGTGTTGCGTTTTTTATGGACTGGAGGTCTGTGGCCACAATGTGCCACAAAGATCACTGCTGGGTCCACTGCTTTTTGACATTTATAAAAATGATTTGGATGTGAATGTAGGAGGTATGGTTAGTATGTTTGCAGATGACACCAAATTTGGTGGAGTAGTGGACAGCGAAGAAGGTTATCCAAGAGTACAATGGGCCCTTAAGCAGATGGGCCAGTGGGACGAGGAGTGGTAGATGGAGTTTAATTTGGATAAACGTGAGGTACTGTATTTAGGAAAAGCAAATCAAGGCAGGACTTATACACCTAATGGCAAGGTCCTGAGAAGTATTGCCAAAACAAAGAAACCTTGGGGTGCAGGTTCATAGTTCCTTGAAGGTGAAGTCGCAGATAGACAGGATAGCGAAAGGTGGTGTTTGGTACAGTTGCCTTTATTGGTCAGTGCATTGAGTATAAGAGTTGCAAGGTCATGTTGTGCCTGTACAGGACATTAGTCCAAAAGTGGTTTAACCACTGTGTTCAATTCTGGTCTCCCTGCTGTAGGAATGATGTTGTGAAACTTGAAAGGGTTCAGAAAAGATTTACAAGGATGTTGCCAGGGTTGGACGCTGAATAGGCTGGGGCTATTTTCTCCAGAGCATCGGAGGCAGAGGGGTGACCTTACAGGGGTTTATAAAATCATGAGAGATGTCAACAGGGCGAATAGTCAAGGTCACCTACTCAGGGTACGGAACTAGAGGGCAGAGGTTTAAGGTGAGAGGGGAAGGACTTTAAAGGGACCCGAGGGACAGCTTTTTCAAGCAGAGGGTGGGGTGTATGGAATGAACTGCCAGAGGCAGTGGTAGAGGCTGATGCAATTAAAACATTTAAAAGGCACCTGATGGGTACATGAATAGGAAGGGTTTAAGAGGGATATGGGCCAAATGGGACTAAATTAATTTAGGATATCTGGTTGACATGGATGAAATGGACCGAAGGGTATTTTTCTGTGGTGTGCACCTCTATGATTCTACTAGTTACATGCTCAAAGAATTCTAGTAAATTTGTCAAGTATAATTTCCCTTTCATGAATCGATGCTGACTCTCACAGAGCAATGACATGGTTGGGATGAGCTGAGTGGCCTTCTTTTGACATACAGAATTCCATGACTCTATGAATTCTAGAGCAGTTCCACAGTGTCATGATCACATACCTATCTGGGAACGTTCCCCAATGTACCAGAACTTGCTTTTCTCGCTTCATAACAGGTCTCAACCACTCCTCTGCAACATAAAATCGTTGAAGTATTTCAGGAAGAGAAAAAGACCAAAACAGCACATCAACTATATTTTTAAATAACTTGCACACCAAGAAAAACTGAAAATCCATCATATCACAGGACATGCAGACATATAAATTGTTTTCAGCAGGCATATATTCAGGAGGAAATTTTCAGATCTGCAAAATTTGATAGACATTGGAATGAACTTGGTTACCTTCACTATTTTGCTCACCTTCATCTAGAGAGTTCGGAATAGGATAAATTATATGGGAGCCTTTTGATTTGTCTTCTGTAATTGTTCCCTAGGTGAGAAATGTAAACGTTATAGTTAGCAGTACAAAAAGCCTGCTTGACATGGAGTGCATCTGTGCTCTTTCCAATGTAAGCAATCAGTTCTATTGCTGAAGTATTGGACATTTACATATTCAAAAATCATACAAAGGAATGACTTGTGTTCGCTCTGCTGAAGGATAGTCATAGTTGACTGCGCTGTCCACTAAGACAGGATGCATAGGCAGGTGTTGGGACTGTCCTAAATCAGAGAATGGTTAGAATTGCTTGGCAGCCCTCAAACTTAAAAGGTAGTGAAATAAATAGATCCTGGAAATATAAAAGTAGCAAGGACAAGGAAAAGGTAAATCCTTGAACTTAAGTTAAATAATGGCTATAAGATGAGGCGACATAGGTATAAGCAAGTAAAAGCAAGATCAATCACAACTCAGAATGGTACAAATGTAAATGCCATTCATGACACTGTTCAATTCTACAACTGGATGGATGCAGATGAAGCTATATGGCTCTAATTATCTCACTCAACTTACTGTTCTTTAAAGACAAGGAACAGCATTTGATACATCTTTACTTATTTGCCCGTAAGAAAACGACAGCCCCTTACGTGATTAATCTTCTTAAATTAGCACTTTGGTCACAAAGATGGGATAGATTTCCTAATTGCTTCAGTGAAAGCAAAGAAGAATTTTCCTATGTTAATCTCGAGATTGCACTTGGCTATTTTAAGCCAGCTTTGCAGACTCAACTAAATAAGATAAGGAAGGTTATGCGTCCTATCTCTATGACTGGATCCTTGATCTCCTGACGCATAGATGGCAATCAATCAATCAACAACACCTCCTCCACCTTAATCTCAACACCAGATCCCCAAAAGCCTGCGTACTCATCCTCCTAACGCATTTCTCATGCGCTCACGACTGTGTGGCCAAATTCCACCCCAACTCCATTTACAAGTTTGCTGATGACACCACCGTTGGAGGTCGGATCTCAAACAATGACAAGACAGAATACAGGAATGAGATTGAATGCTTAGCAGCATTGTGTAAAGATGACATTCTCTCCATTAATGTCAGCAAAAAGAAGGTGGTCATTGACTTCAGGAAGCAGAGCGGACGGCACGCCCCTTTCTGGTGCTGAGGTGGAGATGGTCAAGAGTGTCACATTCCTCGGAGTGATGATCACCAACAATCTGTCCTAGTCCACCCATGAGGGCACAACAGCCAAGAAAACACAACACCTCTGCTGCCTCAGGAGGGGAAGGAAATTTAGCATGTCCACAATGACACTGACCAATTTTTATAGATGCACCACAGAAAGCATCCTATCCAAATGCATCACAGTTTGGTATGGTAACTGCTCTGCCAAAGACTACAGAGTCATGAACACAGCCCAGTCCATCACAGAAACCAGCCTTCAGCTATTAACTCCATCTATACTTATTGCCGCCTCAGGAAAGCAACCAACATTCTCAAAGATCCCTCCCATCCAGTCATACGCGCTTCCACCTCTTCTGTCAGACGAAAGATATAAAACTTTGAATACACGTACGAACAGATTCAGCAACAGCTTCTTCCCTGCTGTTATCAGGCTTTTGAACGGACTTCCCAATGTTGATCTCTTTCTGCACCTTCTATGCGGCTGTCACACTGTATTCTGCACTCTGTTCCGTTACCTGATGCACTTAAAATGCTATGACCTGCCTACAGAGTGCGCCAATCAACACTTCTCACTGTATTTCAGTATGTGGCAATAATAAAACAAATCAAATCTGAATTCTTTAAATTGTTCGCTACCAACGGGGGGAAAAGCATCTAAACACAACATATGACATGAGTAAAACATTCAAAAAAAGTCTTCACTGCAAGACATAGCATCAGAGAAATTAACAGATCAGGCCATTATTCACCCTCTCCAGTTCTTCCTGCCAATTCATTACAAGCACTGACAGCGCCACCTGCAAGAAACCAAGAGCCAACGTAGATATCAAGGTGTAGAGCTGGATGAACACAGCAGGCCAAGCAGCATCAGAGCAGCAGGAAAACCGACGTTTCGGGTCTGGACCCTTCTTCAGAAATGGGGGAGGAGAAGGGGGCTCTGAAATAAATAGAGAGAGGGGAGGCGATGGTGGAAGGTGGAGAGAAGACTGACAGGTCAAGGAGGCAGGGATGGAGCCAGTAAAGGTGAGTGTAGGTAGGGAGTTGGGATGGGGGTTGGTCAGTTGGAAGGGAGGGGCGGGTAGGTGGGAGGGAAGACGGACAGGTCAAGGAGGCGGGGATGAGGCTAGTAGGTAGGAAGGGGGGGTGGGGGTTGGTCAGTTGGAAGGGAGGAGCGGATAGGTGGGAGAAAAGACGGACAGGTCAAGGAGGCGGGGACGAGCTGGCCTAGTCTGGGGATGAGGTCAGGGGTGGGGAGATTTTGAAGCTTGTGAAGTCCACATTGAGATCACTGGGCTGCAGGGTGCCCAAGCGGAATATGAGGTGCTGTTCCTCCAGCCTTTGGGTGGCATCATTGTGGCACTGGAGGAGGCCACTTGCAAACTGTGAGTTTCATAATACAAGAGCTGATGAATTAATATACATCGGATCATAAATGACCTAATGCTCAACATCATTTACACACTTTTCCTGAAATAAATAAAGAACAAAAAAACACAGCAATTACAGTTGTGAAAATTCCAACTGTACTAGCAATCTTGTATGTGTGCAAGTTCAATTTCAGAGTTCATCTCCAAGAGATTATCCCATTATAAAGTGGAACGAGCTGCACAATGGATAATTTGCACTATTTATCTTGACATAGTGTACTGTTAATATCTCATTCCAGACTGTTATCAAACTCAAAAATACAATAATAAAACTAAATAAATCCACTGCACAACTTCTCATAAACTTTAATTTTCTTAAGTGATGAGAGGCTAACTTTGGTGAAACAATTGGTTTCCATGACCGCCGATGCAAAATGCAAACAATGTGAACTAAATATTAGTTTTGCCTCAAAGAGTCAGCAATACACATGGAGAGGAAGCAATGTTTTACTTGTCTGAACAGGAGCCTTTGATCTGAACTCCTCTGGAATACAGATAGCAGTTCTGGACACCATGCCTTAGGGAACATTCCAAAAATGAGTTAAGGCCTGAAAAGTTAAGTTTGTTTTTCTCTTGCCACAAAATGTTGCAGGGCCTGATGAGATTTTCCAGCGCTTAGTTTTGTTTCAGATCTTTACTATCCATACGATTGTGCTTTTGTCTTAGAGAATACAAATTTGACTGCGGAAAGGCACAATGAGTTTACAGAATAATACTGGAGCGTAAAAGATTTAATTAGGACTTTCAGTACTCTTCCATGTATATGAGACATTGGTCATGTCAATCTGTTGGCAGGAGCATAATTTGCTGCCTGCTTTTCATTTAATTACTTTAGCCTTTTGTTTACCTAAGGATTTTTCCTGATGATCCAAGTAATCACAGCATTTTCTGTTCCTTCAGTTCCAAGTCACTGTTTGTGCCTGCAAGATATCTGAATCAGCCCCACCCCATGGCCACAATATTCAATCACCTGGACGGTTTCAGCACACAAAATCATATACTCACAGTGGGAATTGCCAGCACAGCACCATCTGCAGGCAGAATGGAAACTGCACAGGATGCTGCACGTTAACTACTTTTTAATATATAGAATCCCTACAGTGTGGAAACAGGCCCTTCCGCCCAACAAGTCCATACCGAACCTCAGAGCATCCCACCCAGACCCATTCCCCTATTACCCATCTAATCTACACATCCCTACGGGCAATTTAGCATGGCCAATTCACCTAACCTGCACATCTTTGGACTGTGGGAGAAACCCACTACTAAGCCTAATGTACAAATAGAGCTTGACTAGCTGTGTTCCTCCAGCTCCACACTACAGTGACTAATGTACAAATAGATGGGTTACTGTAAAATATAATGTGACACAACAATTCTCCCAAATTGAATTAAAACCCATTGCTTTCGTATAGCTCTTTGCACAACTGTGGAACACACTGAAGCATTTTCTATTATAAAGTCCCTTAGCTATAAAGTACCTTGGCTATAAAGTTTGCACTTCAAATGCAGGGATATTTAAACTTTCAACTATGATTGAAACTGAAACATAGCAAGCTCCACAAAGAGTAACATGAAAATAATCAGATCATTTGTCCCTCAATTAGAATCTCAAAAATAGTGATTAAGATATCAGAGATAACTGCCCTTCTTATTCAAAATTATGAGATGGGGCATTGTTTAAATTCACCTGAGGTGACAGGTATAGGCCTCAGTTTATCACCTCACCCAAAATTTAGCATCTCAAACAGTAAAGCATTTCCTCAGTTTCCAGTGGAATATCAGCCTACATTTGTGCACTCTGGTCTGGAAGTGGAACTTGAAGCTAGCCACGGAACAATAATTGCAAAAAAAAAAGTTTGAAGGCTCAAGAGACGTCGTACGACCAAATAGTTTCCCATTATTACGTTCTATACAAAGCAGTCAGTCAAAGTGGTTTCCTGCCAAGTATTTACCAGGAACTGGAGCGGAAAACTGAGAATGTGACTACATTTAGCAATCAAATCTATGCAGAAGGGACACAATGAGTGCAAGGCTCTTCTGACTTAAACACTGATTTAATAGGTGGTGAAATTTCACTTTTTTAAATCAGAAGCTCGAAGAATACGTAACAGCAAACCTCTCAGCACATTTAAGGCAACAATTAAGTTGCAAAGGAAACATGTCATGAAAGGCTTATCCATGAAGCACTTTCTCTTTTACTAAAAAAAAAGCACTGCAGATACAGTGTAACAATAAAGAAAAACAATCAAAATACATATTGCAATGAGTAAATGGGGCAGACAAACAATGGAAGTAACTTTTAGGCAGTAACTTTTAGTAACTACAGGAATTGCAAAAACATTCAGCAACACAAAATGGACAGAGAATCATGACAGGAAGCTATGCAGTCTAAATAAATCAAACATATTGTTAATTCAAAATACGCATACCTGATGCCTTTTAACAATATCTTTACATTTATTTGCCAGCTTTGGGTCAAGTTCAGATGGGAGGTAGATTGTAGGTCTTGTTAAACAGTTATTCTGGAAAAGAAACATTTTATACTGAAGTATTACTCGACCATTCATGTAGTAGATATTGGTTTTCTCCAAGCATTTAAAACAAAGAACACAATAGAGCATACCACCTGCATTGCCACTTCATGGAAATTAAAACTTTTAAAGCCTACTGAACTGTCCATTCAAACCCCCTTAAATCCATATCAAATGATATATGATTTAAAAGCGAGAAGGTTTAGAAGTGCAGCAGTTCTCTTCATAAATTTCAGACTCTCCGAAGTGGCCAGTGCTATCACATGCTGCTTTCTTTCTGTTTTTCCAAAACTATACTCTGCGTGGAGACAGATGCTTTACTTCCGGCAGCGGTCGGTCAGCTTAGCTGGTTAGAGCGCGGTGCTAATAACGACAAAGTCATGGGTTCGATCCCCATACTAAGTGCATCGGATTCTCCCCGCTAGTTGCGTGCTTTGCCTCCTGATTAGAGGTGAAGTCTCTGCTTTTAACTGGGAAAGTGTCAGTGAGAAAATGTGATCTGTAGCCAATCTTCAGAAAAATTTGGGCGGCACAGTGGTTAGCACTGCTGCCTCTCAGCCCCAGGGACCTGGATTCAATTCCAGCCTTGGGTGACTGTCTGTGTGGCGTTTGTACGTTCTCCCGTGTCTGCATGGGTTTCCTCCCACAGTCCAAAGATGTGCAGGGTAGGTGGATTGGCCATGCTAAATTGCCCATAGTGTCCAGGGATGTTTAGATTAGGTGGGTTAGACATGGGGAAATCAGGGGTAGGGGAATGGGTCTGGGTGGGATGCTCTTCAGAGACACGGTCTAGGCCCGAAACGTCAGCCTTTCTGCTCCTATGATGCTGCTTGGCCTGCTGTGTTCACCCAGCTCTGCACCTTGTTGTCTCGGATTCTCCAGCATCTGCAGTTTCTACTATCTGATTCAACTTTACGCAATAAGGTCTGTGTCACTTTGATTGCTAATGAAGCAAAGAGGAAATACTTTTCAATTCTTGCTATCCAAGAAACTGCATTAACACATGTCCATGTCAAGTGACTGCTGATGCAAACTTGGAAATGACATCCCAGTGTTAAACATCTGGAGATTCTCAATAAAGATCATGCAAAAAAAACAAACAATTTACTGGGACAACCACTACAGGCGTATGATAACAGCAACAAAGGAAACAGAGACAAAGGGGAAAGAAAATTGGAGGAAAAAATAAGTTATATTGGCCACATTAAGCACCAGTTTGTGGATGGGAGTCTTACTGAAGTTAAAAGAAACTCAAGTTATGTACATCTCACACACGCCAACTGAGTTTTGTCAAAAGTGAAACCAGACAAAATGTAAAACTTGAGGTCAAATTATGCTTGAGGAGAATACGTTAACCAAGGCTGCAAAATTTCTGATCATGAACATAACATGAATCCTAGACATGAACCCGAACAAGAATCAGACAAACAATGCATCCAATTCTGACATCACACTTAAAACAGCGATTCAAGAAAAGAAACATTCTGTTCATATCATGGTGTTCAAGTTCTGGTGCAGAATTTAGGACAATAACCTTCTAAATCCGAAGTTGTCATCTAACCAAAGCAGCAAATCCTTTTAATTCAGCAGGCTGACAGTTTTAAAACGAAATACAGATTTAATGTAGCATCAAAGATACTTACCTGCACCAGTGTCTTTTCTATAGTCATAAACATTTCTACATTACGATCCATTCTGGAAGGATTTTGCAAGTCGAACCTTCTCCTAAAAAGAAAATCAAAGTCCCAGAATACTCACTAGATAGCAAACATGCACAAATATTACTTTAAGAGATCACAACAGCCATATCCATCAACTCTTGACACTTATTTTTCTTTTGCTCTGAATGAAAACAAGTCAATTTCCATGAAACAAATAAACCACATGAAGTAATCAAGGATGAAACCAACAGAAAATCATCCATGAACACTATCCACCTGGCCAATATGAAATAAGCACAACAACTGCATCTTTTTATTTTACTTGATTTTTCAAAGTGGACTTAATTGGGAAAACTGCTTTATAACAAAGGCCTGAGGAAAGACTTGCTGTACTTTCGAAAAGCAAGTTTGATCTTCTCTACATGGGGGAGGCAAAACACAGACTGGTTGACCACATTGCAGAACGCTTATATTCTGCCCAGAAAAATGGCCCCGAGCTTCCAGTTACCTGTGACTTCAACTCACTACCATGTTCCCATTCCAATATGCATATACTGTCTGCTGCAATGCTCCAGTGATGCTCAAGGAGCAAACTAAAGAAACAGCATCTCACCTTTCCTTTGGGGACATTGTAGCCTTCAGAACTCAATTTTGAGTTCCATAATTTTACAGCCTGAATACCACACTCCACATCTTTTACCTATCCCACACTCTAGGTCCTATCACAACATGCGTTGATTTCAGCATAGCCAACCCACTTTCACTCACTCTCTGCTTAATTCTGCTTTCTCTCTACAGATGCTGTCAGGATTTGCTGAGTTTCTCCAGCATTTTTTTTTCTGCTGGAACACTGTTTACACCATTGATTTGCAAACAGTGCAAGATGTAAATTGGTTACATGACACGGGGTGAGTGCATGAAGTGAGACTCATTTAGCAACTTGTTGCTGATTGGTTTGTGCAATTATGACCAGTTATGGATGCCAAGGTCATCAATCCAATAACAACTGTTTGGTTTCTGGGTTGCTGCACCATTTACAAGTGAGAACGACATAATGGAAAGCCCTCAAACTTCTGGAAGGACAAGTGGTGTGTTTTTCTCTCTTTCTCACGAGTAGAATACCTGAAGCTAAAGAAAGTCAGCTGCTTTCTCCCACTAGGTTGCTGTAAGCTATTGCTTTTAACTAGTACGTCAGAGACACCATGACTTGTAAACCAGTTCTTCTGTGCCTCCCGCAAAGAAGTGAAAAGAATCAAAAAAACGCTTAGAGAACGAAAAGACTTGAGAAACAAAGGATCCCCTCAATCAAATTCTGAGGACTGCTCCAACTGAATGGTTTGTCCAGTATTTTGTTTCCCTTCCATCCACGACACCAGTTTTTCTTTGGAGTGTCTGTGTCTGACTACATGTGTATAGGGGGAGCTTTATAAAGGCGTTTTAACAAGTAGAGTTATATGTCAAGAGTTGTTTACTTACGTTTAGAATCTATTTTGTTGCAATAAATAGTAGCTGTTGTCAACTACAGAAACTTGGACTGAGTTTCTGTTGACCAGAGTCTCTAACATGAGTAAATTGTGAAATCGGAGTACCTGGATCAAATATTTTCAAAACTTTGAGATGATTGTGACAATAGCATAGCTTGTTTTCTCGCACACTATTCCAAGATGTGTAACAACATCAATGTCAATGTCAATCAGTTGTAACCGACCTTAAACATCGCATAGACTACATTTAGCTCTCACTTTCATACTCATTTCTGGATGATTATCTATTTTGAATAGACTTTGCAGGATATGTTGGTCAGGGTGATAGGGGATGCAGTGTATATTTATTGAAATGACACCATATACTTATAATCAGAAAGCAAATTCCAATTACACTAAATAGATGGTGGGGACAATCCATGTTTCACGCACTTGATGGGATACTGATCAATTTGACTCATGTGTTCTGGGCAATGCTGAATCTCAAAATTCAACCAGGCAAGTGAAAAACATTCCACCACATTTCAAGACTGTTAGCAAGAGAGATAGGGGTGAAATGAGGAGAAACTTCTTTAGTAGATATCAAGATCTCGAATGCGTTGCCTAGAAGAGTGGTGGAAGCAGATTCAACAGGAGGTTTCAAAGGAGAGCTGGATATATTTTGAAAGTGATTAATTTAGAAGCTACAAAGATAGGGCTGGAGAATGGGACCAGCTGGGTAGCTCTTTTGAGAACTGGTACAGACATCGGTTGAATGGCCTCCTTTTGTACAGTAAAATTCCTTGATTCTACAATTTCTGCCTGGACTATGGTGGAGAAATTGCAAGCAATCAAAAAGTTACATTTCTTCCTAACAGTCAGCAGGGTTTCGGAAAATGGAGAAATATTCTTTTGGCTACAGATACAAGTTTGGTTTCTTTAAATTGCCAGTTATGAAAGACATGCAGTAGAGGCAAGTTAAGTTATGCTAACCACGTTTTAAAAAACTTCCTCCTCATAAAAAACTGACAGCAGATCATTCTTACCAACAACAAGCTCAAGGTAAAAAAAAAAGGTGAACCTAGACCTCTGATCAGATGCCTGCAAATGTCATTCGATAGTTTAAAGTAGCAAAATATCAACAACTTCAAAACGCACTGCAATCATGACAGGATCAGCAAATAGAGATAGGGGTAGGAATAGCAGTCATTCCTATTGCCCTGCCTTTGTTTCTCTCTGCCAAAGCTTTATGTAAAGGATATGTCCTAATATGAGGCTTTCAATATATATTAAAACACCACTGGGGAGTAATATTCTGGGAAGAGCAACTACTCAGTCAAGAAGTCATCCAATGTCAGGAGAAAAAGAGCCCGCTTGCTCAGGGATCCAAAACAATTGGCCTTTCTTCCAATCAAGACCTATATCAAATATCTATAATGCTATAAAACAACTTAGTAATGGCAGCAATCCAATAGAAACAGGCTTTAGAAAGTAGACACACTTGTCACTGTAAGCAGCTTCTGATTACTGTGAAGAGATCATTAGCCAAGTGTCAAACTGCTTGATTAAAAACATCTAAGAAAATCCGAAATGTCAACACTTTCAACAGGGATTCAAACATAAATGAAGATTTCACAGCAGGTCCAGGAAAGAAGAGCCCTTCTGGATTCACCATTATTGACATATAGATATAACAACAAATGGTGGGCAACGATCATCTCCAACAACAGAGAATCTAACCTTATCCCCATGACATTCAATAGTATTACTGATATCTGAATTCAACCTCCCTTGGAGAATAAGGAAAGGGAAATAAAAGCGAGGAAACCAGGAAAGGGCAGAGGAGTTGAATAAATACTTTGCACCAGTGTTCGCACTAGCAGACACCAACAGCATTCCAAAAATTGCTAAATAATCAAGGAGCAAAAGAAAGATGGGAAATAAATACAATATCACTCGAGAGTGTCAAGTCCCCTGGATCTGATAGGATGCATCCTAGCATATTAAAGAGAGTGTAACAGAGATAGTGGCGCACTGGTAATCATCTTCCAGGACCCCCTATATTCTGGAAGAGTCCCAGAGGATTGTAAAAATGCAAATATGTCACCTTGCCTTTTTAAACAAAGGTGTTAAATAAAAGGTAATAACAGACCAGTCAGCTTCAATGTCAGTTATTGGAAAACAATTTGAGTCTATTATAAAGGATGTAATAGCAGAGAACTTAGAAATACAAAACATGATCAAGCAAAATCAGCACGATCATAGCTGACAAATGTACTGGAATTCATTATGTTAGTAACAAGGAGTATAAATGAAGGGGAAGCACTGGATGCAACATATTTATTTGGACTTTCAGAAGGTGTTTGATAAGGTGCTACATATTAGGCTATTTAATAAACATGACAGCCTATACTGTTGGAGGTAGTCAGTCAATCAGCACAGACACAGGATTGGTTAACCAACACGAAAGATGGGATAAGAGCGGTATTTTCTGGACGACAAAATGTGGCTTGTGGTTTGCCACAGGATCTGTGCTGGAGCCACAATTATTTACGATATATATTACTGACTTGAAATGAGAAAAGTGAATGTACAATAGTCAAATTGACCGATGACAAAAACAGCTGGGTAGGCAGGTGGTGAGGATGATACAAAAAGAGAGTCTGCACAGGGATGTAGACAAGTTAAGCAAGTGGGCAAAAAATATGGCACATGGAATATAAAGGTGGGAAATTGTGAGGTTATGTATTTTTGCAGAAATAGAGGAGCTGAATATTATTTAAATGGAGAAAGACTGCAGAAAACTACAGAAGAAAGGGATTTGTGAGTCCTCAATCATGAAATCACCAAAAGCGAGTATCCAGGTTCAGTGGGCAATAGAGAAGGCAAAAGGAGAGTTGGCCTTTATTTCAAAGGGAATGGAATGTAAAAGAAGGGAGGTTTTGTTAAAACTCAACAAAGCATTTATCAGACCACAGCTGGAATACTGTGAACAGTTCTGGGGTCTTATCCAAGGAAAGATATGCTGATATTGGAGACAATACTGTCAAAATTCAATTAAATGATCCTCTCTATGGAGTCGATGTTCTTATGAGCAATGGTCAACTAAGTTGTGCACGTACTAGATGGAGCTTAGATGAGCGAAAGGCATTGTTATTGAAACATATATAAGATTCTTAGGTGGCTTGACAGGGTAAATATGGGAGAAATTGTTTCCCCTTACGGGACAGTCTATAACCAGAAGGCATAATTTCAGCATAAGAGGTCGCACATTAAGATGGAGAGGAAAAGGAGTTTCTTTTTCCTCCCAGAGGCTGGTGAATCTGTGGAATTCTTTATTGCAGCAGCTATTGAGTCTGGGTTGTTTTGAATATTCAATATGGAGACAGGCATTTTTAAATTATAAGGAAAACAAGCATTACAGCAGAAAGGCAGCAAAGTGGAGGGGACAGAAATCAAATTATCCATTATCTCAGAGTAGCAGAGCAGACCCGATCGGCTGAATGGCTTATTTCTGCTCCTACGTCGAACGGTCTATAAACATTCTGAGTGTTATACTAACCAGGAACTGAGCTGGAATAGCCATATAGATACTGTGGGTACAAGACCAGGTCAGAGGCTCAGAATTCTCAGTTACTCACATCCCAACTCTCCAAATTTCTAAACCATCCGCCATCTACAAAGCCTAAATGCTATGGAATACTCACCACTTGCCTGGATGAGCCAAGTTCCAACACACAAGACACTTGACACTATCCAGGACAAAACTGCCCATTTGATCAGCTGTTCAACAATGTCAAAATTCACCATATCCACCAGCGACGCACACGGGTTGCAATAAACACCCCATAGCAACGCAGCAAGGCTTCTTTGGCAGCACCCTTCCAAACACCATGACATTAATGACCAAGAAAGACACGGGCAGCAGCTGCATGGAACATCACCACATGCAAATTCTCTTTCAAGCCACTCACTGTCTTACTTGGAATTATATCACCCTCCCTCTACTCTTGCAGAATCAAAATTCAGAAACCCCCTCAATAAAATTGGGGGTCCATCCACATCAGATGGACTGCAGACAGCTGCCACCTGGAACAGTGATCACCTTCAAGGGTATTTAGAAATGGGTAACAAATGCTGGCCTTGTCACAATTACAAGTGCAAAAGTTTGCTTTTCCCAATTTTTATATAGCAATTTAAACATAGTGAAAGCAATCCTATGAAGAACCAAATGAAAATAGCCTCACTTACCCAGGTTATTGTGCAACCCAAGCTCAGTTTTGAATCTACTCCTGACATCGATTAGAATAAGATTCTGGACTGACTTACCATCCCTGTTCACTCTTGAATTTGTAAGCAGCACCAAGGATATGACCCAAGGGTCCCCCAGCTTTGAAATCAAGGAAACATTTTGCCTGTTTTGACAAAACATAAAGGTCAACACTGGTTCAACACCACAGTACATCAGACAGCATTTACAATTTACTCCAACAACATATGATAGCGGAAACAGCTATCCATTGGAGAGATCATTCAGTTCTAGGAAAGTTCCTAAAGATGAACACTGACAGTTAGTTTGTTAACAAGTTATCTGGGATTGGAGTGTAACTGAGACCTCCAGGTTCTAATCTGTCTCAAAGCATATAGCTCACATATCAGGTCAAGAGACATGTCTCCAAAGTGGTGAAAAAAAATTTACTGCTTGACAGATGTTGCAACATTTTTGAAATCACTTCCCCCCCCCCTAAAAAAAAACAAATTGTGTTCCCTTACCGAGATCAACAACTAAAATAACTTTTGATTAGCCAATTCACTTCACTTTTAAGATCCTTGACTATGCTTGTGGAACTCAGAATATGAAAATGCTTATTCAAATTTATCTAGTCCCTTTGTTGTTTTCTGTCATAACTCTCCTCTCCCTTTAGTTCAGGAAAAGTTCCAAAATGCAAAGTCAGTTTTCAAAAGGTCAGTTCTCCAAGTCGAGTTATCAACGCTATGAAACCCTTCAAAATTTCCTCCAGTAGGAAATCCCTTTTAAACATGAGGTTCCAAAACTGGACAGAATTCCAGACATGGCTTCAGAAACAAAATCCTACAACAGAGGAAGGTTCTCGTTCAACCCAAGATGGAAGCTTTCAGACTGGCCTCAGTCATGCCACCTTGTGAGGTTGTACACAAATTGACAGGAAGTGAGCAATGGTGTCCCACAAGGATCGGTGTTAGGGCCTCCATTATTCACATTACTTATTAACAACTTGGATAACAGCCTCGCAGATCATATATCCAAATATGCTGATGACACAAAGTTAGGCAGCACTGTAGACAGTGTAGATGACAGCATCAAATTACAAAGGGATATTGATAGAATAGGTGAATGGGCAAAACCATAACAAACTGAAGTTCAACATAAGGAAGTGAGGAGTTATCCATTTTGGACTGAAGAAAGATAAATTAGGGTACTTTCTGAGGTTCTTGAATAGATTTGTAGCTCAGGTTGTGGATGCTGTGGTTGGTTTGTTCGCCAAGCTGGTCCGTTAGTTCGCAGACGTTTCATTACCTTGCTGGGTAACATCATCAGTGCAGTCTCCGATGAAGCGTTTTTGTGTTTACCCGCCTGGTCCCACCAACCAGTTTAATTGGGACAACACCAGGATCCTAGGACAGGCCAACCAGAAACAAGTCAACCAGAGACAAGCACGGGAATTCCTCGAGGCCTGGTCCTCCACCAAGAAGACCATCAACGAACACCTAGAACTAGACCCTATATATAAACCACTGCGAAGGAAAACCAGAAATGAGGTAATCAAATTCAATAGACCCCACAGTTTAAACACCAGGCAGGAAAACACAACAGCGCTTCACCGGAGGCTGCACTGATGATGTTACCCAGCAGGGTAATGAAATGTCTGCGAACTAACAGACTAGCTTGGCGAGCAAACCAACCAAAATAGAGTACTTTTGAGATGATAGGTTAAATATAATGGATGTCTAAGAAATTTTGGGGGTTCAGGTGCACAGCCCTTTAAAACGTGAGGAATAGGTATAGAAAATAAGCAAGCAAGCTCATGGAATAATGGCCTTTATTTCTAGAGGACTGGAGTACAAGGATGCAAAAGTAATGCTGCAGCATAACAAAACCATAGTAAGGCTTCATTTAGAGCACTGCGAACAAACTTCGCACCAAATCTTACAACGGAAATACTGGCCTTAGAGGGAATACAATATAGGTTTACAAGAATGATACCTGGACGTTACGGGTTAAGTGATCAGAAGAGGTTATACAAAATTTAGTTTGTGTTCTCTATCATTTAGGAAGTTAGAGGTGAGCTGATCAAAGTCTTCAAGATATCAACAGGAAAAGGCAGGGTAGATGAAGATAAATAATTTCCACTGGTTGGGGATTCGAGAACTAGGAAGCATAGTCAGAGAATCAGGGCCAGACCATTCAGGAAAGATGTTAGGAAGCACTTCTCCACAAAGAGTAGTACAGGTACAGAAATCTCTTCCACAAACAGCAGCAAATGCTTGATCAGTTCCTACTTTTAAATCTGAGATATCTTTGCTTAATAAAAAAAAAAAATCTATTAAGGAGGTTATGGACCAAAGCAGCAATTTGCACTTAGGCCACAGGTCAGCCATGATTTCATTCAATGAATGATGGAATAGGCTCAAAGGGCTGAATGACCTATTTCTGTTCGTTTGTCTTATATTCCAAGAATTATGAGCCCTGCAACCTGAGATGTGATTTTGCTGTCCAGAGGCAGCTAATTATGAATCTTCCTCTAGCACAATTTCTCTGCCAGTCATATCCCAGCAAATGTAGACATTGAGCAACAGAACATTTCAGGTTTGCAAAGATTGCCTTAAGAATGAGGTTATGGGGAAGGGGGAAAAATTCCTTCAAATAGAGGAGGTCAAAAAGTCCAATGATCAACTGTAAATTGGTGACACAGGTCCTATCTCATGACCGATTTCAACACCTCCAGTGTCTCATTTATCACAATGCTTGTGTGACATTCAGTCATGAGGGAGCATAAGGCTTCTCCAACTACTGACGGACCCAAAGCTCCAGTCTTCAACACCTGCCACAAACTGTTCCTCAGGTAATAAACGCCATCGTTCTCCCTCGTCACTCCGAGACTGAACTAGACTATTGGTAACCTCAATGTTGTCCTCAAACCAGAGTTGAGCTCTTGACCAATAACCCATCACAAAGACTGCTACTTCCAGCTTGAAAACACCTCCTCTGTTCAACTATTTTAAGACTCATTCAATCCTCTCAACTTAACTCCTGAAATTTTTCTCCTGGCAAGCTTTCCATCTAACCTATATAAACCACAACTCATCTAAGACACTGCTGTCCACATTCTAAGTTGAAGAAAAACCAGTAAACCTATTAACTGTGTCCTACTGACCTACATGGGAAGTAGTTCCATATCACCTCTCTTCTGAAATATTCATTCTCATTCCAAAATGCTTCCCACCCACACCCTCAAATCTTGTTCTCACATAACTGGTTTCTGGCATACCTTCTGATTTTTACCAGCTGGGCCTTTGCCAACTGTCTCTACTTCTCTTTCTGCACATCAGGCTTCCTTAAAACCTAGCACATGAACCAAATTTTGTAGAGCCCAAATATCTTATTAGAAGGCTCATTGTCAAAATTTGATACATAGTACTCCTTCTTTGGGACATGTTACTATAGACTACCAGACCATAGGGCTGCTCTTTCATCTGACAGAGAGAACGACCTTCAGTGACGACTGATGATGATTAACCTGAGGATCATCACTCCTCAGGTAAAGAGGAAGATTGAGAAGGAACCTCCTTCTTGGTATTAAATTTCACCATACATCTTGAATGCAAAGTTTCAAACTCGGCTTATGGTATTAATGGTGCCATTTTCCTCATTTAGCTTACAAATCCATCCAAGTCAAAATAGAAAGGTTCAATTGTCAACACAGCTAATCTTATTTTGACCTCAACCAATTTATATGTGAACATCCACACCAGCTGACAAAACAGATTGTGCTTACAAGTTACTTACTGGAAGTTTAGTTAATGCAGGATTGTTAACGTGCTTGCCAAAAGCATCTTCCTGAAACTGAAGCAACTGCACCACAAGTCCAGCCAGTGTTTTGTTTGAAGGTGAATCTGCCTGTACAAACTGAAAAATACAATTGATTTAAAGGCTTTGTAGAACAGAAAGGCTTAAAAAAACCTCTAAGTTTTGTACTTGAGGCACGACATGAGGAAATATGGAAACACATGGTGGGATAGAGAGTGCGGGAACTTGATTGATTTTTGGTAGAAGCATCATCACCAAGATTTCAGTCATGTTCAGTGGTGATTTCGTGACAATTTCACAATAGAAACCATGAATACGCAACGCAGTACAATTTTTGACTGCATCCCTCTGAAATGGAAATCTCTTCACTTGTCTATGCAAGTTCAACTACAACTAAATTAAAATATCAGAGTAAAGCAAAGTGATTCAGGTGGTGGTGACAGTAGAATACAAAGACTAATTCAATAGGTTTGTCAGGCTAAAAGGCACATGATCATCACTATTGACATCAGTTCAGCAAGTACCAGGCTATGACAATCTCCAATAAGACACAGAATTTAACCATGTCCCCAAAACATTCAAAGGTATTACCATCAGTAATTCACACCCCTCCCCCACAATCAACATCTTGGTGGTTATTCATTGAGAAGAATTTAACTGTACATCACTTTCAATATTCATTCCCTTTACTCCTGACACACACTGGCAGCATTTACAGCACCTTCCAGTGTATTTCAATTTCTCACACTGCCTCTTTGGACCACACCTACCAAATCTGTAACCTCTACTATTGTGAAGGGCAGATGTACAGGATCATGTTCAGATATTTGGCAATGTCGTCAGGAACAAATTCCCTCCAAGTCATGCATTATTCTGACTTGGAACCACATTACCATTCCTTCACTGTTACAGGTCAAAGTCTTGGAACTCCTTTGTAACAGTACTGACTTGATTCGATTTGATTTGAATTGATTTATTATTGTTTCATGTACCTACGTACAGCAAAAGGTTTTGTTCTGCATGCAGTGCAAGCAGATTGTACCATGCAGACAGGAGAGCAGAATACAAAATTACAGAGAAGGTGCACAGACAGGGAGATCAACATTAAATTTTAAATTTGAAAAGTCCATTCAGAAATCTAACAACAGCAGAGAAGCAGCTATGGGTGTCCCTATACCTCCAGGACTGTTGCATTTCAAGAAGGCAGCTGATCATCCTAACAGAAGTACCTTCAGAGATTGTAGATACTTGGGTTGTAATTTTCCAAAAATCCATGGATTCTGGGGAAGTACTGGAAGACTGGAAAACTACTAATGTGACATCCCCCTTCAAAAAGGAATGGGGCAAACAGCAGGTAAACATAGGCCACTTAGCCTGTGGAAAAATGTTGGAATCAATTATTGACAAATAATAGCAGAACACTTGGAAAAAAATCATGTAAACAAGCAAAATCAGCACGGCCTCATTAAAAGGTAAATGCATGACTAAATTATTAGAGTCTTAAGGAAATCTCAGAGTGGATCAAGGGTCAATCAGTAAATGCATTCTATTTGAAATTCCAGAAGACTTTTGATAAAATATCCTACAAAAAGTCAAGTCATAAAGGTCACAGCCCACGGTGTTGGAGGTAGCATACCACCAGGGAGAGAACTGATATACACTAATCATCTGGAGGAAGGAAGTGAATGTACTGTACCCAAATTTTGAAATAGGAAGTGAAGAGATATTGGAGGTTTTGGTAGGCTTAAATGTGGACAAATCCCCAGGTCCAGAGGAGTTATATCTCAGGCTGCTGTGGGAGATGAGGGACGAAATTACAGGGGCTATGACTCAGATATTTAAATTCCTCCCTGGCCACAGGGAAGGTGTTAGAGGACTGGCTAAGTCATTAGAGTCCACAGTATTGGAGGTAGAATACTTGCATGGAAACAGAATTGGTTCATGGGCAAGAAACAGCGAGTGGGATTAAGGGGGTGTTTTTTTTCAGATTGGCGACCTGTGACCAGTGGGGTTCTACAGGATTCCACAGTGGGATTTCCGCTGGAGCCACAACTATTTACAAAATATATAAACAATTTGGAGGAAACATGCTGTAGCCAAATTTGTAGGTGATTCAAACTAGGTGGAAGGGCAAATTGCGAGGCGGACCATTTTACAAAGCGACACTGATAGGTGAACTAAGTGGACAAAAGCTTGTCAAATGGAGCATAATATTGGAAAATTTAATATTGTTGATTTTAGAAGGGAGAACGAAAGAACAGCTTCATTTATAAGTGGAGAAAAACTGCAGACAGTTGAACACAAAAAGGGACTTGGAGGTATTTGTGCACGAAACACAAAACTAGCACACAAGTGTAGCAGATAATCAGGAAGGCTAAAGAAATGTTTGCCCTTATTCCAAGGGGATTGGCGCCCAAGAGTAAGGAAGTCTTATTGCAACTGTACAAGGTGCTGGTGAGACAACATCTGGAGTACTGCAAGCAGTTTTGGTCCCCTTATTAAAGGGGAGGAATTATTTCATTGGGGGCAGTTCAGAAAAGGTTCATCACAATGATCCCAAATATGGAATGATTGTCCTATGAATAGAATATCTTTTATTTCATGTGTAATCCATTTTTTTCTTTCTTTATTCGTTCACAGGATGAGGGCATTGCTGGCTAGGCAGCATTTATTGCCCATCCCTAATTGCCCAGAGGTAGTTAAGAATCAACCACATTGATGTGGGTCTGGAGTCACATGTAGGCCAGACCAGGTAAGCATGGCTGTTTCCTTCTCTAAAGGGCATCAGTGAACCAGATAGGTTTTTCTGACAATTGACAATGGATTCACTCTTAATTCCAGATATTTTTTATTGAATTCAAATTCCACCATCTGCTGTGGTGGGATTTGAACCCGGGTTCTCAGAACATTATCTGGATCTCTGGATTAATAGTTCAGCGATAATACCACTAGGCCATTGCCTCCCCACTGCAGAAGTACAGTGAAAAGCTTTTACAACGTCTGCCTCTTATGGCGCTTTCTTGGGTACAAGTATCCATGTACAAATTATGGACACAAAAGAGGAATAAAAACTAATTGCATTACTTTCCAGAGTTTAAAAAAAAGTTAGAAATGAGACATTGTTAGAAGGATTGATATTACAGTCAGGAAAGAGCAAGGTTTTGACTCTATTCACTGGAGTTTAGAAGAATAAGAGGTGAGCTCGTTGAAACAAATACAGTTCTTATAGGGGCTTGACAGGGTAAATGCTGAGAGGATGTTTCCCCTTGTGGGAGAGTCACAGAATCAAGGAGCACCAACTTAAGAGTAAGGAAAGATCAGTAAGGAAATCTAGGGTTACGGAGAAAAAGGAAAGTGGATGTGAGCAATGTTAGATCAGCCACGATCCTATTAAATGGAGGAGCAAGCTCAAAGGACTGAAAAACCTATTCCTGTTCCTGTTTTTTATGGTTTTATCACCTTTTCAAGAACTACTGTGGTTAGAAAAATAAACGTTCCCCAAGCAATGTCCATGTGCTGTGAACAAATAACAATATCATTGAAAACATTAAATTTATCTCAAGAGGACATGTGAAAGCTGGTCACATGACTACAGATGATGGCTCGAAAGGGGAGCCTGCTCCTGGGGAAAAGAACCAAAGCTGGGATTATGGAGAGACCCCTAAAAGACATCCAGATCAAAAGTGCAGGGTAGAAAGAGCAGTATTTTTAAAAGTAACAGAGAAGTTAAGAAGGTAACATGTCCATGCTCACATGATCATGTTTTTACTTGTCCACTTATGCAACATGGGCTTGATTTACAGAGTAACAATTATCAAGAATCCATAATTGCCCGAAAGAAAATGGTGGCTTTATAACAAGTGCAATGTGTAAACCCCACATACCATTAGGGAAGAATCTTATACAATTCTGAGCCTATGATAGCCAAACGAACACCTATTCAGTTCCAAGTCAGGATAGTGTGGGGCTCAGATGGAAAGATGTGGCAGTAATGATGCAGTTTCCACATCTTTGAAGTAGGATAGGAGCATGTAGAACTCAAGCCTTGTAATATTTTAATGTCTTATCACAAGCAAACATACAATATAGATCCTGCTTTAAGTTTAGGTGGGTAAGTGCCAACAAGAGATGATCTTAGCATCTTCTCTTTGACATTCACAGACATTACAACTGGGCATTTGATAGTAGAGAATTTGAATATTACTGAAAAAGGACATTTTGCCTCGGCTTTTCATGTTACATTCACCAGCACAATTCATTGGAATACCAGTTCACGGTGCTAATGAACAGTTATACTGCTTTTGTACAGAGTGCTGATTGGTTGACAAATTGATGCATTGGTCAAGCCATTGCCCTGGAGACTACACCAAATTGCTGATGACTGACAGTTAACTGCCAAGCTTCATTTAAAATTTTAAACCAAACAATTTGATTCTGATGAGAGAGGACTTTCCCCTGAGAAAATGAACAAGGAAATGGCTGTACATAATTTAATGAGTTGAAACAAGTACAATATACATACATGTTGTGATTGCCTGCAAAGAACTGTGCATTCTTAGTTTAGTAGTAGTATCCCTACAGTGTGGAAACAGGCCCTTCGGCCCAACAAGTCCACACCGACCCTCAGAGCATTCCACTCAGACTCATCCCTGAACACTATGGGCAATTTAGCACAGCCAATCCACCTAGCCCGCACACCTTTGGACTGTGGGAGGAAACTGGAGCAAACCCACGCAGACACAGAGAGCATGTGCAAACTCCACACAGACAGTCCCCCAAGGGTGGAATCGAACCTGGGTCCCTCATGCTGTGAGGCAGCAGTGCTAACCACCGAGCTACCATGCCACACAGGAACACAGGCACACAACTACACCATTCAACCCATCAAGCCTGCCCTACCATTCAATAATAAATCACAGTTGATCTAACTTTTGAATGTCTTTTACTCAAAAAAAAAAACCCTGCACGCTATTGATAGATTTTGGATTGCCAATCTCTGCCATGAACATACTCAAGGACTGAGAAAGTCCCAAGATTTACAAGCCCCTAGGTTTAAAAAAAAAATCCTCCTCTCAAACCTAAGTGGCATCCCTTCCTTT